TAACCGACAGACCAGGGCCCAATCTGTTTGAAAGTAGAACTATTTCTGGTGATGTGCCATGCGTTGAAATATAAGGCCATTATATTTTTTTAAATTAATGTAGTCAATCCCCATATTTGAGAAAAATTTCTGGGCTGAGCTGTTAATTAAAAAATATATATTTCAAGCAAAACAATGGCCGTTTGCAGTAGGTAGGTTTCGAACCTACGCTGCCATGGAGAATCTGATTTCTAGACAGACGCTTTAACCGACAGACCAAGGCTAAATCTGTTTGAAAGTAGAACTATTTCTGGTGATGTGCCATATGAAATATAAGGGCATTATATTATTTTAAATTTATGCACTCAATCCCCATAATTGACAAAATTTTCTGGGCTGAGCTGCTAATTACAAAAATTATATTTCAAGCAAAACAAATGGTCGTTTGCAGTAGGTAGGTTTCGAACCTACGCTGCCATGGAGAATCTGATTTCTAGTCAGACGCCTTAACCGACAGACCAAGGCTAAATCTGTTTGAAAGTCGAACTATTTCTGGTGATGTGCCATGCGTTCAAATATAAGGGCATTTTATTGTTATAAATTTATACACTCAATCCCCATAATTGACAACATTTTCTGCACTGAGCTGCTAATTACAAAAATTACACTTCAAGCAAAGCAAATGGTCGTTTGCAGTAGGTAGGTTTCGAATCTACGCTGCCATGGAGAATCTGATTTCTTGTCAGACGCCTTAACCGACAGACCAAGGCTAAAGCTTGTTGAAAGTCGCACTATTTCTGGTAATGTGTCATGCGTTGAAATATAAGTCCATTATATTTTTAAAAATTTATGTACTCAATCCCCATATTTAAGAAAAATTTCTGGGCTGAGCTGTTAAACAAAAATTATATATTTCAAGCAAAACAATGTCCGTTTGCAGTAGACGCCTTAACCGACAGACCAGGGCTAAATCTGTTTGAAAATAGAACTATTTCTGGTGATGTGCCATTTGAAATATAAGGGCATTATATTGTTTTAAATGTATGCACTCAATCCCCATAATTGACAAAATTTCAAGCAAAACAAATGGTCGTTTGCGGTAGGTAGGTTTCGCACCTACGCTGCCATGGAGAATCTGATTTCTAGTCAGACGCCTTGACCGACAGACCAGAGCTAAATCTGTTTGAAAGTAGAACTATTTCTGGTGATGTGCCATTTGAAATATAAGGGCATTATGTTGTTTTAAATGTTAGCACTCAATCCCCATAATTGACAACATTTTCTGGACTGAGCTGCTAATTACAAAAATTACACTTCAAGCAAAACAAATGGTCGTTTGCAGTAGGTAGGTTTCGAAACTACGCTGCCATGTAGAATCTGATTTCTTGTCAGACGCCTTAACCGACAGACCAAGGCTAAATCTTGTTGAAAGTCGCACTATTTCTGGTGATGTGTCATGCGTTGAAATATAAGTCCATTATATTTTTAAAAATTTATGTACTCAATCCCCATATTTAAGAAAAATTTCTGGGCTAAGCTGTTAATTAAAAAATATATATTTCAAGCAAAACAATGGCCGTTTGCAGTAGGTAGGTTTCGAACTTACGCTGCCATGGAGAATCTGATATCTAAACAGACGCCTTAACCGACAGACCAAGGCTAAATCTGTTTGAAAGTCGAACTATTTCTGGTGATGTGCCATTTGAAATATAAGGGCATTACATTGTTATAAATTTATGCACTCAATCCCCACAATTGACAAGATTTTCTTGGCTGAGCTGCTAATTACAAAAACTATATTTCAAGCAAAACAATGGTCGTTTGCAGTTGCGAACCTATGCTGATAGGGAATCTGATTTCTAGTCATACGCCTTAACCGACAGACCAAGGCTAAATCTGTTTGAAAGTCGAACTATTTCTGGCGATGTGCCATGCGTTGAAATATAAGGCGATTATAGTTTTTTAAATTTATGTAGTCAATCCCCATATTTGAGAAAAATTTCTGGGCTGAGATGTTAATTAAAAAATATATATTTCAAGCAAAACAATGGCCGTTTGCATTAGGTAGGTTTCGAAACTACGCTGCCATAGAAAATCTGATTTCTAGTCAGACGCCTTAACCGACAGACCAGGGCCCAATCTGTTTGAAAGTAGAACTATTTCTGGTGATGTGCCATGCGTTGAAATATAAGGCCATTATATTTTTTTAAATTAATGTAGTCAATCCCCATATTTGAGAAAAATTTCTGGGCTGAGCTGTTAATTAAAAAATATGTATTTCAAGCAAAACAATGGCCGTTTGAAGTAGGTAGGTTTCGAACCTACGCTGCCATGGAGAATCTGATTTCTAGACAGACGCTTTAACCGACAGACCAAGGCTAAATCTGTTTGAAAGTAGAACTATTTCTGGTGATGTGCCATATGAAATATAAAGGCATTATATTATTTTAAATTTATGCACTCAATCCCCATAATTGACAAAATTTTCTGGGCTGAGCTGCTAATTACAAAAATTATATTTCAAGCAAAACAAATGGTCGTTTGCAGTAGGTAGGTTTCGGACCTACGCTGCCATGGAGAATCTGATTTCTAGTCAGACGCCTTAACCGACAGACCAAGGCTAAATCTGTTTGAAAGTCGAACTATTTCTGGTATATAAAACCATTATATTTTTATAAATTTATGCACTCAACCCCATATTTGAGAAAAATTTCTGAGCTGAGCTCTTAATTAAAAAATATATATTTTATGCAAAACAATGGCCGTTTGCAGTAGGTAGGTTTCGAACTTACGCTGCCATGGAGGATCTGATTTCTAGTCAGACGCCTTGACCGACAGACCAGGGCTAAATCTGTTTGAAAGTCGAACTATTTCTGGTGATGTGCCATTTGAAATATAAAGGCATTATATTGTTATAAATTTATGCACTCAATCCCCATAATTGACAAAATTTTCTTGGCTGAGCTGCTAATTACCAAAATTATATTTCAAGCAAAACAATGGTCGTTTGCAGCAGGTAGGTTTCGAATCTACGCTGCCATAGAGAATCTGATTTCTAGTCAGACGCCTTAACCGACAGACCAGGGCTAAATCTGTTTGAAAGTAGAACTATTTCTGGTGATGTGCCATTTGAAATATAAGGGCATTATATTGTTATAAATTGATGCACTCAATCCCCATAATTGACAAAATTTCAAGCAAAACAAATGGTCGTTTGCAGTAGGTAGGTTTCGCACCTACGCTGCCATGGAGGATCTGATTTCTAGTCAGACGCCTTGACCGACAGACCAGGGCTAAATCTGTTTCAAAGTCGAACTATTTCGGGTGATGTGCCATTTGAAATATAAAGGCATTATATTGTTATAAATTTATGCACTCAATCCCCATAATTGACAAAATTTTCTTGGCTGAGCTGCTAATTACCAAAATTATATTTCAAGCAAAACAATGGTCGTTTGCAGCAGGTAGGTTTCGAACCTACGCTGCCGTAGAGAATCTGATTTCTAGTCAGACGCCTTAACCGACAGACCAGAGCTAAATCTGTTTGAAAGTAGAACTATTTCTGGTTATGTGCCATGCGTTGAAATATAAAGGCATTATATTGTTTTAAATATATGCACTCAATCCCCATAATTGACAAAATTTCAAGCAAAACAAATGGTCGTTTGCAGTAGGTAGGTTTCGCACCTACGCTGCCATGGAGGATCTGATTTCTAGTCAGACGCCTTGACCGACAGACCAGGGCTAAATCTGTTTGAAAGTCGAACTATTTCTGGTGATGTGCCATTTGAAATATAAAGGCATTATATTGTTATAAATTTATGCACTCAATCCCCATAATTGACAAAATTTTCTTGGCTGAGCTGCTAATTACCAAAATTATATTTCAAGCAAAACAATGGTCGTTTGCAGCAGGTAGGTTTCGAATCTATGCTGCCATAGAGAATCTGATTTCTAGTCAGACGCCTTAACCGACAGACCATTGCTAAATCTGTTTGAAAGTAGAACTATTTCTGGTGATGTGCCATTTGAAATATAAGGGCATTATATTGTTATAAATTTATGCACTCAATCCCCATAATTGACAAAATTTTCTTGGCTGAGCTGCTAATTACCAAAATTATATTTCAAGCAAAACAATGGTCGTTTGCAGCAGGTAGGTTTCGAATCTATGCTGCCATAGAGAATCTGATTTCTAGTCAGACGCCTTAACCGACAGACCAGAGTTAAATCTGTTTGAAAGTAGAACTATTTCTGGTGATGTGCCATGCGTTGAAATATAATGTTATAAATTTATATATATATAAATATTATATAATAATTATATAAATATATAAATATATAAATATATTGTTATAAATTTATGCACTCAATCCCCATAATTGACAAAATTTTCTTGGCTGAGCTGCTAATTACCAAAATTATATTTCAAGCAAAACAATGGTCGTTTGCAGCAGGTAGGTTTCGAATCTATGCTGCCATAGAGAATCTGATTTCTAGTCAGACGCCTTAACCGACAGACCAGGGCTAAATCTGTTTGAAAGTAGAACTATTTCTGGTGATGTGCCATTTGAAATATAAGGGCATTATATTGTTATAAATTTATGCACTCAATCCCCATAATTGACAAAATTTTCTTGGCTGAGCTGCTAATTACCAAAATTATATTTCAAGCAAAACAATGGTCGTTTGCAGCAGGTAGGTTTCGAATCTATGCTGCCATAGAGAATCTGATTTCTAGTCAGACGCCTTAACCGACAGACCAGAGCTAAATCTGTTTGAAAGTAGAACTATTTCTGGTTATGTGCCATGCGTTGAAATATAAAGGCATTATATTGTTTTTAAATTCCTCGGGGGAGCCTGTAACCCCTAGAGGGCGCGTCCCCAGGTGGCGGATAGGGGGATGCCCGACCCGGTTCACCGGTGGGTAGGAGGGAAATAAAATACCTCCCGCGGACCAACAGGCACTTGCCAAACCGTCTGGCCAGCGTGGCAAGTTAAGGCTAGATACCCCTTATGGAATGTCGAACTCAAAAACAAGTGTATCCCAGGCGAGTAGAGATAATATCTCAGAATCTCGCACTGTGAAAACAGTCAGCCTCACGGATTCTGGGAGAGGCAAAAGTTCGATGATATCAAAAACAAGGAAAGACAGAGAGCGCATCAAGACAAAAACCCTATACGTGTCCACTTTTAACGTAAGAACCCTATCCACAGATGACAAATTAATTGAGTTTGAGGAAGAGCTGAAAGGTGTTAACTGGCATATAATTGGACTATCCGAAGTGAGAAGGTGTGGAGAAAGTTGCACAACACTGCAAAATGGACACACTCTCTACCACAGAGGCAACCAGACAAACAAGATTAATGGAGTGGGATTTCTCGTAAACAAAAACATAGTAAACAACATTATAGAATATAAAAGTATATCTGAGAGGGTGATATCGATAGATCTAAGAGTAAACAAAAGATACACATGTAAAATAATACAAGTATACGCCCCGACAACAGAACATGAAGATGAGGAAGTAGAAGAATTCTACGAGGAAATCAATCAGGTTTTGAATAACAACACGGCTCACTATGTTCTTATGATGGGTGACTTCAATGCAAAAATTGGAATAAGATCAGACCCACAAGAAAAAGGAGTAGGAGCATTCGGATCGGGAACACGTAATGAAAGAGGAAAACTTCTACTGAATTACGTTAAAGAAAACAACCTCCATATCATGAACACCTACTTTAAGAAGAAAGAAAGCCGGCGGTGGACTTGGAAAAGCCCAAACGGATTAATCAAAAACGAAATAGACTTCTTAATAAGTAACAACAAAAACATAGTACTAGATACAAGTGTAGTAAACTCCGTTAAAATGGGAAGTGACCACCGTATGGTCAGATCTAAGATATACTTCGATACAAAAATAGAACGATACAAATTGATCTCAAAGGGACCCAAAGGTATCAACACAGAGGAACTCAGAGTAAAACAGGAGCAATACCAACGTCAACTAGAAAATTGTATCGATCGAAATATGCTACACACCCAGTCTATTAATATGCTAAACAACGAGATCTCAAAGCAAATCCAAGAAATAGCACATAACGTGGCAGGAAATAAGAAAAAGAAAAAACTTCAGCTTTGCCAACAAACTCTGGATCTAATCAAAAAACGCAAGACGATAAACCAAGATATTACATTGAATCATATAGAAGTCACGGAACTAAACAAGACAATAAGAAAGAAAATCCGACTCGAAACAAGGAATTATAAGAACCAGCAAGTTAGACAGACGCTAGAGGAGAGAAAAAGTTTGAAAGTACTGCAAAGGGAATTTAAGAACAGGACCCACATCACAAAGCTTGTAAATGAGAACAACATCGAATGTACCAGGATGGAAGAATTAAAAGAATTAACTGAGGCATTTTATCGATCGCTATACGAAAGCAAAGCCAAACCACCACTAGAAACATCTTCTAAAGAACGACAGAAGGTAATGAATGTAGGCTCAGAAGAAATCCCAGACATAACAAGTGAGGAAATTGAGAGAACCATGTCCAAAATGCCAAAAGGAAGAACAGCGGGAGGGGATGGTATAGTATTGGAAATGCTGATCTATGGAGGAGAAATAGTTCTGGACATTTTAAAAATATTATACAATAAATGCCTGCTGGAGTGCGACGTCCCCGCAGACTGGAAGAACGCCCTAGTAGTTTTGCTCTTCAAAAAAGGCGATAAAACTAAATTAAGCAATTACAGACCAATCAGCCTGTTGTCTGTCATGTACAAAGTATTTATAAAAATAATAACAGAAAGATTGACCAACAAACTTGACAGTTACCAGCCTAAAGAGCAAGCCGGATTTAGAAGAGGTTTCAGCACACTAGATCATCTGCAAGTAGTAAGAACAGTTATAGAAAAGACAAATGAATACAATATCCCAATCTGGGTCGCTTTTATTGACTATGAAAAAGCTTTTGACTCTGTAGAGATATGGGCTGTATTGAAGGCATTAAGCAACAGCAGAGTCGACTATCGATGCACAACCTTAATCCAAAATATATATAGCAACGCAACCCTCCAAGTTATGTTGAAAGATTTCACAGATAAGATTGATATAGGCAGAGGAGTTAGACAAGGAGAGTCCATCTCACCGAAGCTGTTCACGCTTGCGTTGGAGGATATGTTCAAGAATATCGGATGGGAAACTAAGGGCATTAAAATAAATGGAGAATACTTAAGTCACCTACGGTTTGCTGACGATATTGTTCTCTTCGCGGATAATCAACAAGATTTGCAAGACATGCTATTGGAACTAGATCAAAACTCTAAAAAGATAGGCCTCAAGATGAATATAGGAAAAACCAAATATATGACGAACGATAATATCACACAAGAAACGAGAATCGAAATAGATAACAAAAAAATAGAACACACAGAATCCTATGTTTATCTAGGTCAGAAAATAGAAGTTTCAAAAAACAACTTAAAAGCAGAACTACCGCGAAGGATATCGTTGGCATGGACAGCCTTTGGAAGACTCAGAGAGGTTTTTTGTTCAGGCCTCCCAAACACCCTCAAAGCGCAAATCTTCGATCAATATGTACTTCCAACACTAACATACGGTACAGAAACATGGGCAATTAATAAAGAAATCATTTGCAAGCTACAAACAACACAACGAGCTATGGAAAGGAGGATGATAGGTGTAACCCTCCGGGACCGAATAAACAATAATATAATCCGGGAAAGATCAAAAGTGACAGATGTCATAGAGAGATTATGTAGACTGCGATGGAGCTGGGCAGGACATATAGCCAGGAGCAAAGATGATCGTTGGACACGCAGAGTGATGGAGTGGAGACCATGGAGCAGTAAGAGGAGCAGAGGACGCCCCCAGACTAGGTGGACAGATGATATAAAGAGACTGGTGGGAGACAATTGGATGTGGCATGCGCAGGATAGAAAGGAGTGGCAATGCTTAGGGGAGGCGTACGTCCGACGATGGATGGATAGCTGAGGATGATGATGATGATGATGATATTGTTTTAAATATATGCACTCAATCCCCATAATTGACAAAATTTCAAGCAAAACAAATGGTCGTTTGCAGTAGGTAGGTTTCGCACCTACGCTGCCATGGAGGATCTGATTTCTAGTCAGACGCCTTGACCGACAGACCAGGGCTAAATCTGTTTGAAAGTCGAACTATTTCTGGTGATGTGCCATTTGAAATATAAAGGCATTATATTGTTATAAATTTATGCACTCAATCCCCATAATTGACAAAATTTTCTTGGCTGAGCTGCTAATTACCAAAATTATATTTCAAGCAAAACAATGGTCGTTTGCAGCAGGTAGGTTTCGAATCTATGCTGCCATAGAGAATCTGATTTCTAGTCAGACGCCTTAACCGACAGACCAGGGCTAAATCTGTTTGAAAGTAGAACTATTTCTGGTGATGTGCCATTTGAAATATAAGGGCATTATATTGTTATAAATTTATGCACTCAATCCCCATAATTGACAAAATTTTCTTGGCTGAGCTACTAATTACAAAAATTATATTTCAAGCAAAACATTGGTCGTTTTCAGCAGGTAGGTTTCGAACCTACGCTGCCATAGAGAATCTGATTTCTAGTCAGACGCCTTAACCGACAGACCAGGGCTAAATCTGTTGGAAAGTAGAACTATTTCTGGTGATGTGCCATTTGAAATATAAAGGCATTATATTAATTTAAATTTATGAACTCAATACCCATAATTGACAAAATTTTCTGGGATAAGCTGCTATTTACGAAAATTATATTTCAAGCAAAACAATGGTCCTTTGCAGTAGGTAGGTTTCGAACCTATGCTGATAGAGAATCTGATTTCTAGTCAGACGCCTTAACCGACAGACCAAGGCTAAATCTGTTTGAAATTCGAACTATTTCTGGTGATGTGCCATGCGTTCAAATATAAGGGCATTTTATTGTTATAAATTTATGCACTCAATCCCCATAATTGACCACATTTTTTGGACTGAGCTGCTAATTGCAAAGATTATATTTCTAGCAAAACAAATTTTCGTTTGCAGTAGGTAGGTTTCGAATCTACCCTGCCATGGAGAATCTGATTTTTAATCAGACGCCTTAACCGACAGACCAAGGGTAAATCTGTTTGAAAGTAGAACTATTTCTGGTGATGTGCCATTTGAAATATAAGGGCATTATGTTGTTTTAAATATATGCACTCAATCCCCATAATTGACAAAATTTTCTTGGCTGAGCTGCTAATTACAAAAATTATATTTCAAGCAAAACAATGGTCGTTTGCAGTGGCGAGCCTATGCTGATAGAGATTCTGATTTCTAGTCAGACGCCTTAACCGACAGACCAAGGCTAAATCTGTTTGAAAGTCGAACTATTTCTGGTGATGTGCCATGCCTTGAAATATAAGGCCATTATATTTTTTTTAATTTATGTAGTCAATCCCCATATTTAAGAAAAATTTCTGGGCTGATCTGTTAATTAAAAAATATATATTTCAAGCGAAACAATGGCCGTTTGCAGTAGGTAGGTTTCGCACCTACGCTGCCATGGAGAATCTGATTCCTAGACACACGCCTTAACCGACAGACCAAGGCTAAATCTGTTTGAAAGTCCAACTATTTCTGGTGATGTGCCATTTGAAATATAAGGGCATTATATTGTTATAAATTTATGCACTCAATCCCCATAATTGACAAAATTTTCTTGGCTGAGCTGCTAATTACAAAAATTATATTTCAAGCAAAACATTGGTCGTTTGCAGCAAGTAGGTTTCGAACCTACGCTGCCATAGAGAATCTGATTTCTAGTGAGACGCCTTAACCTACAGATCAGAGCTAAATCTGTTTGAAAGTAGAACTATTTCTGGTGATGTGCCATTTGAAATATAAGGTAGGGTTCGAACTTACGCTGCCATAGAGAATCCGATTTCTAGTCAGACGCTTTAACCGACAGACCAAGGCTAAATCTGTTTGTAAGTCAAACTATTTCTGGTGATATGCCATGCGTTGAAATATAAGTCCATTATATTTTTATAAATTTATGTACTCAATCCCCATATTTGAGAAAAAATTCTGGGCTGAGCTGTTAATTAAAAAATATATATTTCAAGCAAAACAATGGCCGTTTGCAGTAGGTAGGTTTCGAACCTACGCTGCCATAGAGAATCTGATTTCTAGTCAGACGCCTTAACCGACAGACCAGCGCTAAATCTGTTTGAAAGTAGAACTATTTCTGGTGATGTGTCGTTTGGAATATAAGGGCATTACATTGTTATAAATTTATGCACTCAATCCCGATAATTGACAAAATTTTCTTGGCTGAGCTGCTAATTACAAAAATTTTATTTCAAGCAAAACATTGGTCGTTTGCAGCAAGTAGGTTTCGAACCTACGCTGCCATAGAGAATCTGATTTCTAGTGAGACGCCTTAACATACAGATCAGAGCTAAATCTGTTTGAAAGTAGAACTATTTCTGGTGATGTGCCATTTGAAATATAAGGGCATTATATTATTTTAAATTTATGAACTCAATACCCATAATTGACAAAATTTTCTGGGATATGCTGCTATTTATGAAAATTATATTTCAAGCAAAAAAATGGTTGTTTGCAGTAGGTAGGTTTCGAACCTATGCTGATAGAGAATCTGATTTCTAGTCAGACGCCTTAACCGACAGACCAGGGCTACATCTGTTTGAAAGTAGAACTATTTCTGGTGATGTGCTATTTGAAATATAAGGGCATTTTATTGTTATAAATTTATGCACTCAATCCAAATATTTGACCACATTTTTTGGGCTGAGCTGTTAATTACAAAAATTATATTTCTAGCAAAACAAATTTTCGTTTGCAGTAGGTAGGTTTCGAATCTACGCTGCCAGGGAGAATCTGATTTCTAGTCAGACGCCTTAACCGACAGACCAAGGCTAAATCTGTTTGAAAGTCGAACTATTTCTGGTGATGTGCCATGCGTTGAAATATAAGTCCATTATATTTTTATAAATTTATGCACTCAATCCCGATAATTGACAAAATTTTCTTGGCTGAGCTGCTAATTACAAAAATTATATTTCAAGCAAAACAATGGTCGTATGCAGCAGGTAGGTTTCGAACCTATGCTGATAGAGAATCTGATTTCTAGTCAGACGCCTTAATCGACAGCCCAAGGCTAAATCTGTTTGGAAGTCGAACTATTTCTTGTGATGTGCCATGCGTTGAAATATAAGGCCATTATATTTTTTTAAATTTATGTTGTCAATCCCCACATTTGAGAAAAATTTCTGGGCTGAGCTGTTAATTGAAAAATATATATGTCAAGCAAAACAATGGTCGTTTGCAGCAGGTAGGTTTCGAACCTACGCTGCAATGGAGAATCTGATTTCTAGTCAGACGCCTTAACCGACAGACCAGGGCTAAATCTGTTTGAAAGTCGAACTATTTCTGGTGATGTGCCATGCGTTGAAATATAAGTCCATTATATTTTTATAAATTTATGTACTCAATCGCCATATTTGAGAAAAATTTCTGGGTTAAGCTGTTAATTATAAAATATATATTTCAAGCAAAACAATGGCCGTTTGAAGGAGGTAGGTTTCGAGCCTACGCTGCCATGGAGAATCTGATGTCTAAACAGACGCCTTAACAGACAGACCAACGCTAAATCTGTTTGAAAGGCGAACTATTTCTGGTGATGTGCCATTTGAAAGATAATGGCATTATATTGTTATAAATTTATGCACTCAATCCCCATAATTGACAAAATTTTCTTGGCTGAGCTGCTAATTACAAAAATTATATTTCAAGCAAAACATTGGTCGTTTTCAGCAGGTAGGTTTCGAAACTACGCTGCCATGGAGAATCTGATTTCTAGTCAGACGCCTTAACCGACAGACCAGGGCTAAATCTGTTTGAAAGTAGAACTATTTCTGGTGATGTGCTATTTGAAATATAAGGGCATTTTATTGTTATAAATTTATGCACTCAATCCAAATATTTGACCACATTTTTTGGGCTGAGCTGTTAATTACAAAAATTATATTTCTAGCAAAACAAATTTTCGTTTGCAGTAGGTAGGTTTCGAATCTACGCTGCCACGGAGAATCTGATTTCTAGTCAGACGCCTTAACCGACAGACCAAGGCTAAATCGGTTTGAAAGTCGAAATATTTCTGGTATATAAAACCATTATATTTTTATAAATTTATGACCTCAACCCCATATTTGAGAAAAAATTCTGAGCTGAGCTCTTAATTAAAAAATATATATTTTAAGCAAAACAATGGCCGTTTGCAGTAGGTAGGTTTCGAACTTACGCTGCCATAGAGAATCTGATTTCTAGTCAGACGCCTTAACCGACAGACCAAGGCTAAATCTGTTTGTAAGTCAAACTATTTCTGGTGATATGCCATGCGTTGAAATATAAGTCCATTATATTTTTATAAATTTATGTACTCAATCCCCATATTTGAGAAAAAATTCTGGGCTGAGCTGTTAATTAAAAAATATATATTTCAAGCAAAACAATGGCCGTTTGCAGTAGGTAGGTTTCGAACCTACGCTGCCATAGAGAATCTGATTTCTAGTCAGACGCCTTAACCGACAGACCAGCGCTAAATCTGTTTGAAAGTTGAACTATTTCTGGTGATGTGTCATTTGGAATATAAGGGCATTACATTGTTATAAATTTATGCACTCAATCCCGATAATTGACAAAATTTTCTTGGCTGAGCTGCTAATTACAAAAATTATATTTCAAGCAAAACATTGGTCGTTTGCAGCAAGTAGGTTTCGAACCTACGCTGCCATAGAGAATCTGATTTCTAGTGAGACGCCTTAACCTACAGATCAGAGCTAAATCTGTTTGAAAGTAGAACTATTTCTGGTGATGTGCCATTTGAAATATAAGGGCATTATATTATTTTAAATTTATGAACTCAATACCCATAATTGACAAAATTTTCTGGGATATGCTGCTATTTATGAAAATTA